TGAAATACCACGACCATACAGAAGACAGCCGTGAAGTGAAAGCAATGCCGCGTTTCGTCTGATGAGTGTGCGTACCGGAGGCCTACTTTAGTCCTCTTTCCCTTCCCACTCTATTTCTTATAAGGAAGGGATGGGAAGTGGAAGTGGACTTTCCGGATAAGAGGATGCATGGAAAGGGAAGATATTTTCTTTCTGTGCATCCACTCCTCCGTCGATTAAAGGCAGGCAACGCATATGCAATTGTGTAAGTCTATGGGCAACGGTCACTTTGCAACTTCAGCGATCTCAGGTGGCCGCTCGCTTGTTAGCCACCTTATGATATAAAAAAAAACAATATTTGAAGTTCATTATAGAATAGCTTAGTAGCGAATGCACTTTGTCTAGTCCCCGCTAATAGAATCGCGTTGATTTATAGTTTTGTGTACGAAGGGCTTAAATTGGAACTATAAAATGTCAATCTAATTATTCACGTGTCGACGAATCAACAGCCTTAACTCCGTAAGCCGCTTCGTATGGTAATAACATGTTGAACGTCATTGATTATAAGTAATAGTATAAGCAGCGTGATAGATGTGGTCACGTAACACGTATCTAACACGCGACGTGTTGCCACGACACGTAATGTAATGTTTGACATTTTGAGAACATTAATCTGACAATATTATATAAACATGTAGGCGTAAAGTAAATGACAAAAGTTGAATGTCAATTTTAAAGATATAAGATCCTTGTCTATTTTGTGTTGTCTATGTGTAAGGTTTAACATATTTTGTGATAGAATTAACTAAGGTAGTCGTACCAGATGAGTTTGTAAGTTCCAACTGGTCTGTTGATAGTGTTGTTATCAGGTTTTCCGTCAAGCAATATCTAAAACTTACTAAAACAATTTTATAAAAAATAAAGATGGATGTTGGTTGATAACTACAGAAAGTCTGCATGAATCTCGATGAATTTTTGTATACATATAGAACATAGTCTGGAAGAACACATAGACTACTAAGTTTTTTTATTCCGCGCAAACGGAACCGTGGGCGACAGCTAGTAACATAAAAAAGTAATTTGTGATTTACAAGGTATCTCCAGAATGGCTGTATGGATCTCGATGAAATTTTTTTAACATAGATGTAGAACATGGTCTGGAAGATCACATATTCCGCTGGCACAGCGACCCAGTCTTGGCCGGTCTCTTGTATTTAAAGAACACATAGACCACTAAATATTATTTTTTAATTCCCCGCGAACGAAGTCGCTGGCGACAGCTAGTAATATAAAAGAGGATGAATAGATGTTTGTTAGCAAGCATCTCCAGAACAGCTGCATGAATCTCTTTTAAATTTATCATAGATGTAAAACATAGTCTGGAAGAACACATACGCTATTTAAGTAATTTTTTTATTCCTCGCTTCGGAAAATTATGAAAAGTAATTTTGTTAAAAAAACGAGTTATGTCAGTATGCGTAGGAGCCGTTGATAATGACAAAGAATATGCGTTCGCAAAGTGTGTACTTATCACCTTACATCCGGTAAGTATTTTCTACCTAATCGCTACTGGTCCATTCTAAAGATAAAATTTATAATAAAAGCTTTATATCTCCTAAATACATTTTAATATATTATTAGTGTCAAGCAGGAATAACTATAAATAAAAAAATATATATGCTAACACCTCACTAAAATTTTACGAGGTAATTGTCCCATGTATGGGTCATTATGGTACAGCCCCTGTGGGTCATTGACCTTTACACAAATAATATAAAGATGGTTATACATCAGTGGCTTAGGGGTTTAGCAGTTTACTTGCAATCTGCAGATTCGAATCCCGCCGTGTACACAGACGAGAGTGTGTGTGTGCGCAGACGAAGTTGCGGGAGACAGCTAGTTTTACTATATTTTTTGTTTTTTTCTTTGCAAATTTTTTGGCAGTAACATTTTAATTTCTGACGTAAATATGAAAACTCTCCAAATGTATACTCACCTTTATATTTCTCACGGTCGCACCCTGTTATGTTTTTTTTTAAATTTTATCAAATGGTACGGGTTTATAAAAAACCCAAAGACATCTTGTTTTATTTTTAACGTGGGAACATTTTTTGAAACTTTGGATGGACGCAATTGTGAATTCACCCGGAAAAAATGTTCGCTAATCTTATATATTGCTAATATTATAAATGCGAATGTTTAGATGGATGTTTGTTAGAAGATATCTCTGCAACGGCTGCATGGATCTTGACGAAATTTGGCATAGATGTAGAACATAGTCTGGAAGAACATATAGGCTACTAATAAAGTATTTTTTTATTCTGCGAGGACGGAGTCACGGGCTAAAGCAAGTCTTATAAAATAAGAACTGTTTTATCAGAAATTTAGAATTACGTAGTTACGGAACATTAGAAGATTTTCTACGTTTCAAAATAGGATTTGAATTGGAACGATATATAAAGGCTGCTACAGACGTTCATTTTTAACTAAAAAGTTACAATGCGTATGCAACAATCAGTTGAACCGTACTGTAAAAACTGAACGTCTGTAACAGGCTTTATAGGTGTGGCGATACGTACAAGGTCGGTTAAATTATTGCACTCATTCGCTTCAAGCCACTCCTTGTTACGATCGATTAAGCACGAAAAAGTTATAAAAAAAAATCAATTACAGTCGAACATAATTTCAACAGTGAAAGAGCTTTAACATGTTCGCACGAATTGGTGCAGCTCGCCCTGTGAAATACCGCGACAACACAGAAGACACGCGTCAAGTGGAAGCTATTCCGCGTTTCGTCTGATGAGTGTGCGATCCGGAGGTCTAATTTAGTCCTCTTTCCCTTCTCACCATTTTTCTTATAAGGAAAGGATGGGAAGTGTAAGTAGACTTTCCGGGTGACAGGATGCATGGGAAGGGAAAATATTTTCTTTCTGTGCATCCTCTGCTTCGACGATTAAAGGTAGGCAACGCGTATGCAATTGCGTATGTCGATGAGCAACGGTCACTTCGCTATTTCAGCTATTTCAGGTGGCCGCTCGCTCGTTTGTCACCTTATGATATAAAGAAAAACCAAGAGTCCAAGTGACCGTGTTAGTTTTCTCTCTAACCCGAGATTGTCACTTATGGAGGTCATCCGTCGGGAACAGACAATGACTCGCTTAAAGGTTTACCCAGGTGTTAACATATAAAAACTCGCGATCAAAAGAAAATAAAACGGTTTTAAAATGTTTGTCTGTCTGTAAGTCTGCCAGGTCGCGTTTGTTTCGAGTAATATCCGGAACGGTTGTGCCTATTTTGACCGGACTTGGGAACTAACGAATTCGCGGGCGTTTGCTAGTTGTAAATAAATTTGTATATTAGATGATAAGCTATCTGTCCCACGAGAAATTTCCAATCGAATTGCGAAATTAAGATAAAGAAATGTCAGAAAATGTAAAGTGAAAATAATCATTTATGCAGATAAAGACGATAAAACATAATCAAATGTTGGGACCCAATAAAATTGTATATTAAGGTCCATATAATGTTTTGACCTTTTTCAATTTGCAAAAAGCGTGAGAATTTAAATCCATATCGAACGGATGTTACAACAAACGACGATAAAAACAATCTTATCTAAAGCTTTAGTATTAAAACTTTAGAACAGTCTTTCCCAAAGTTGCCGCTGCAGGTCTCAAGGGGGGTAAGAGACCCAGAAAGAAAATGGGGGCGTTGTGTAGAGCTGGGGAGACCTGGGGGTGATTTGTAATTTTATTTAGCTAGGAGGCCTCTGAGACAACGACTTTTACTTTTGAGACGAAGAATTTTAGGCGATTCGTTGCTCGTTTGCCCCTTTCTCCTATAAAAAAAGTTAGAAAAATAAAAAAAATAGATAGAAACTAGCTGTCGCCCGCGACTCCGTCGGCGCGGGATTAAAAATAGATGTTGGCCGATTCTCAGACCTACTCAATATGCTCACAAAATTTCATGAGAATCGGTCAAGCCGTTTCGGAGGAGTATGGGAACGAAAATTGTGACACTAAAATTTTATATATAAGATTAGTGCTTGTCGAGAAGGTTCTGTATACATACGAAGAATTTTTTCAATGATTTTTTTTTTGTAAATCCCTTCCTAGGCCTATCCCTACCAGTGTACCCTTCCACATTCATATTTTAAAATAATTATGGTAGCTTTTATTAAACATAAACTAAATAGAAATCTAGACTGGCCGTCATATCGTGTTTTTTACATTCACCCATTTTGACGACCGCACCTTAAAGATTGAATCTTAACAAACTAGAAACTGGATTAGATTTTTTTCTATTTTAAGTTTACCGTTTTAGCTTTAGCTAGTCTAGATAAATGATCTAGACGTATGTTATTAATTGCATCGTCTCGTTTAAATTACAGCTGTTCGGAGTTTTTTTTTTGAATGTCAGTCAAGTGATAAGTTTAATTGCCCGAGGACTTAATCCTATAGTTTGGATCTTACTTATCTTATATATTATATAAAATTCTCGTGTCACAATGTTGGTCTCTTCCGAAACGGCTTGACCGATTTTATTAAATTTTATATGCATATTTAGTAGCTCTGCGAATCTGCTATCAATTTTTTAATCCAGCGCGGACGGAGTCGTGGGCGAGATCTAGTATTACATATGCTTTTGTTTGGATTGATGTTTGTTAGATCTCCGGAACTGCTGCATGGATCTCTATGAAATTTGGCATAGATGTAGAACATAGTCTACAAGAACACATAGGCTACTAATTAAGTGCTTTATTCATTCCTCGTATGTTTTGTGTTTTTAATCACATATATATTTGTACTTTTAGGAAGAAAATCCGACACTGTGCCGGTGTGTCGCAACACTAGTCTTACTAAAATATCAACGTTTATGTCCCCTCACTAATCAATCTGACACTTGACTTTGTAACGAAAGCACGTCATTTGTGCCAAAGGATTCTAACTAATAAAGTCTAAAAGTAAATAGATTAAACAACATACAGAGCTGTCACTAATAAATAATCTCTTTATTTTCAGAGCGATTCTGCGACGTTACACTGTACTGTTCGCCGAGTTTTGCAACACAAGTACCCAACAAGGATACTGTCGAGCCAGAGAACATAAGAGGCGTCTCGCTTAGAGCACATAGGTAAGGAGACATCATACTAATATTATGTTAGAACGGCTGCATGGATCTCGCTGAAATTTTGTATAGATGTAGAACATAGTCTGGCACAACACATACTAATTAACCTTTCCAGCTGGTACAGTTTCAATTGTCTAATTTGACTTTGATTAAAATATTTCTAAGTGCTTGTAATGTCCTCTCTGTAACTTGCCTTTTGTACGAAAATTCTTAATGTAAAATGCGGTGTGTCCTTGTAATAAATGGTGATTATACACGGACCTCAGTTTTCAGTATTTTTTTATATCATAAGGTGGCAAACAAGCGAGCGACCACCTGAAATCGCTGAAATAGCGAAGTGACCGTTGCCCATAGCCATACGCAATTGCATACCCGTTGCTTACCTTTAATCGACGGAGGAGAGGATGCACAGAAAGATAAAATAATTTCCCTTTCCATGTATCCTCATCCGGAAAGTCCACGTCCCCTTCCCATCCTTTCCTTATAAGAAAAAGGGTGGGAAGGGAAAGAGGACTAAATTAGGCCTCCGGGAAGCACACTCATCAGACGAAACGCGGAATTGCTTCCACTTGACGCCTGCCTTCTGTGTGGTCGTGGTATTTCACCGGGCGAGCCGGGACAATTCGTGCGAAGATGATAAAGCTCGCTCTACCACTGTTAAGTATCGATACAGATTGCTTGTAGCGATCCGTGTATGTTATCCCTAAGCGTTTTCGTTTGACATTTTTATATCATACTAAAATTTACTATAACAGGCCACTTACGATACGAAATCCGGTTGAACCAGTTATGGTGTTAAGTATTAAAAATATTTAATAAATCCAACTTTACAATTAATTGTCAAATAATCTAATCAAAGTCCCCTTTATATCAAATATATCTATATTATGGGTTACATCAACTATTATGAGTACGTAATGTAACTGTTAACTATAAGAAATGTTGAATGACATGAATTTCTACAATCATTTTACGAGCGGTCGCATCGTATAAATATCTCACAGGGCCACTAAAGTTCTTGATTAGCATCGGACTTAATCATTGATTTAACGTATAAATATGTTTATAAACACGTATTTAAAATAGGGCTGGCAAAAATGGCAAAAAAAAACATTTAGTTCGTTATACTAGAAAACCGTAGCGTGTTAGGGTAGGGCGAGGTGAGGTAACTGCCCAGGGCATCGGGCATAAGAGGGCCGCAAACGCCTGAGTTAACAATAAAGAGGATAGCAGCAAAAATTTCGCTCAGGGCGCCAGAAATGCTAGATCTGACCCTGCAAGAAAACGTCGTTACCGAAGTTTGAGTCTAAATTATAATATGTTAGGGACAACCATAGTGGTCCAGTACGGGTTGAATTTACACATTACTGCAAAGAAATTCAACGGTATGTGAAGTCAACCCGTTATGGGCCTGTTTTTGACTATGACCTAGTCACCTAACTTAGGGTAGGCTCTGAACCCTCTATGGGGACATTTATGTTCTGACGACGAAAGAATTCGTGTCGAAAAGTTGACAACCCTAGAAGGTTCCACTATACTTTTTAAACTGTGATTGTTATAGACCAGTTAACGAGCGTTTGTCAAATGACCATTTAAATTAACCAATTCAGGGAATAGGAATTTGAACCGGTTTAAGTGGGTGTCTAGTCACTGCATAAATCCATTGACATAATGTATACTGCTTCACCAGTTTCAACTAATAGTGGTAGACATCAGTAACAACAAGCTGCACGAATACATCGGCTTGTCAGCGTAATACGACCACACAGAAGACACGACTCAAGTGGAAGCAATACCAACTACAGTCTGATGAGTGTGCAGAGGCCTATGTTTAGTACTCTTTCCCTTCCCGCTCTATTAAAAAGGATGGGAAAGGGTAAGTTTGAAGAGGCTATGCATGGGAAGAGGATTATCTTTATATGCGATCCTTCCTCCGTCTATTAAAGGTCGCTTCGCCATTTCGTAGGATTCAGATAGCCGCTTGTTCATTTGCCTCCTTATAATATTAAAAAGACAATTTTACTATCTAACTTCGTACTAATATTATAAATGCGAATATTTCAATAATTAGATGGATGTTTGTTAGAAGGTATGTTTGGAAAGGCTCAACGACTCTTGATAAAATGTAGCATAGATGTAGAACATAGGAATAAAGAGCGTCGGTGGCTCAGGGGTCAAGCACTTGATTTACAATTTGCAAATCCTGGGTTGAAATCCAGCCATATACTAATGTGTTTTTCGATTTCCGATTTACATATGAACATTTGACGTTCTTACGGTGAAGGATAACATCGTGATGCTGTACATATCTGAGAAGAAATTCAAAAGATATGTGTGAAGTCAACCCGCACTTGGTCAGCGTGGTTGACTATGACCTAGTCACATGACTTAGGGTACACTCCGAGCTCGGTGGGGACGTATAGTGAGCTGATGATGATGTTGATGATGTACAATCTAGTCTGGAAGATAAATAGGCTACTTATTAAGTTTTTTTTAATTTTGCGCGAATGCAGTCGTAGTTTTTCTTCACTAAAATCTTAAACATTATTTTCTAATACCTTAAAACCTCATGTTTTTGTTGCTATAGTAACGTTTAGCAATTTAAAGATATATTTAATTAATGTATTCCTTACACGCTACGGATATCTTGTTAATTGTCAATATAAATCAACTGGACACTTGTATAGTAAACTAAAGGTCGATATATCAAATAGTCCAACGAATTTATCTGGTCTGTTGTAACGCTCAGATATCGTGGTTGACTCTGTTGAATTTGGAATAGAGGTGAAATAACGCGACCACACAGAAGACAGCCGTGAAGTGGAAGCAATTCCGCGTTTCGTCTGATGAGTGTGCGTCCCGGAGGCCTCACTTAGTCCTCTTTCCCTTCCCACCCTTTTTCTTATAAGGAAAGGATGGGAAGTGGAAGTGGACTTTCCGGATGAGAGGATTCATGGAAAGGGAAGATAATTTCTTTCTGTGCATCCTTTCCTCCATCGATCAAAAGTAGGCAACGCATATGGAATTGCGTATGGTTATGGGCAACGGTCACTTCGCTATTTCAGCGATTTCAGGTGGCCGCTCGCTCGTTTGCCACCTTATGATATAAAAAAAAACCAATTCCGCGTACCGTCTAATAAGTGCGGACACCTAATTTTAGTCCTCTTACCCTTTCCACACTTTTCTTATTAAGGATGGGGATTTATCGGAGGACGGCACACATAGCCAGGGGAAATATTCTCTTTCTATCTGTCTCCTTCTCCTTCGATTAAAGGTAGGCTACTTCGTATGTCTATGGGCAGTCCTATTACTAGTTGAGATGTAAGTCAGATGGCCGCATGCTCGTTTGCCATCTTATTTTACATAAAAAAGCCAAGGATGACAAGACAGTTATAGTCCGATAAAGGATTGGCACTGTTTGATACATACAGACCGTCGCTTATAAGCTGTTGTACAAAGCAACGATCTTTAAATCTGATATTGTATCCTGTTCCGTACAGACAATGTTGAATCGTCGAACCGAGTTGTCTATTCGGTCAGGCATAGGTGACTACACAACTATAACGTATTAACAAAAAGTTCAACGCAACGACTTTAGTAACGACGATATTGACAAATAGTAAGCGACGGTGACAGAAATGTTTTGTGAATGTCGGAATGGAAATTTTAATCGTCTTGTGTACGGAGAGCCTTAGTTTTATTCTTGACCAACGGGCCGGATAAATCAATCGTATTATATGCCTGAGCAATGATGATTTTGGTCCATTAAAGTTATCCCATGTGTGGTCAAAAGAACACGCCTTATCGTTTGTGACTAATCACATTTTCTAAGCTGTTTATTTTATTAGGCTGTTGTGATGTCACAATTAGGGTTGCCAACACTTTAAGACAGCATTATATAAAAAATACAAGACAGATATAGTACGACAAGGATCTTGTGACTGATATTAACAGAGTGACGCTAGTGAGCTGACGTAATTCAGTTTGACACACTAAACGGGTTAGGATATCCTTGTCAGGCTATACGTGCTGAATTAGAGCTTTTGTGATGGCTTTTTGTTATACAACATTTAAGTGGGAAGCTATATCCTTAACTGTTAATTTACGATGCGTAAATTTCGAATGCAACCTTCGTATCTTCATCAATTTTGTCAAAATTAGTATGAGATTTTTGGTTTAATTTACGCCCGATCCTTCGCCGCACTAGGCACAAATATTCGCCCAAGGCCCATTCCAAATATCTAAGAAGAATTTCAAAGATATGTAAAGTTAAACACAATACTTGCGGTACTCCAAGTGATAGTTTGAGATACTTGTTGCAGAGTTGTACTCGCGGCATGCTCGGAACTACTGGCTGCATTACTTGGCGCTCACGAGGCGCATGGTGAGCCAGTACTGGTCATAGACGGGGCTGAGCCGCGGCATCTACGCGCACTACTCGACTACATGTATACTGGAGAGATGAGTGTACATCACGTAAGTGCTAAAGTTTATTGATTATTAGTTATTTATGGCTGGCAATAGACAATCTTCTAGTTTTTCTGGAACTCCCTGTCTCGGACAATCGCTTTGTAGAATTGTCTGTCCTCGGTGGTATTTCCAAACAGCTACGACTTTGGGTCCTTCAAGCGTACGTATTATCTTCTCAAAGGTCGGCAACGCAGCAGTTACTCTGGTATTGCAGATGTCCATGGGCGTCGTTGAACACCTTGGTGTTCCCGCTGCTCGACTGCACCCTTATCTTATAAAAAAAATTGAAGCGTACAATTTGAAAGATTTACTCTGAAAGTAAAGTCTGAAATGGCCTAATTTTAGTCTTTCCCTTCCCACTTTTTTGTTATAAGGAAAGAAATGGGGATTTGACGGAGAAGTTGACGTATGGGAAGGGGAAATGTTCTGTATCTGTGCGTCATCTCCGTAGATTAAAGGTAGGCAGCACTTCAGTTGCGTATGTTTATAGGCATATCGCTTCGCAATTTCGGTGAATTTAGATGGTAAATATGGGAAATGAACTTGGCGTTCAAAGGGGAACATCATTCCTATGGAATATTTGCGTTTAACGCGTTTTTTTTATCTAGTCACAGTTGGCGAGTCTGTTGAAGACGGCAGAGGAGCTGAGGATCAAAGGTCTGACGGATATACGGTGGAGTAACAAAGATGAACCTCCCGATTGTGAATCTGGTGAGTAATTTTACTAGATCTTTCCAAAAACACTGACTTATATAGTTGGATAGGTCGCAATTAGGAGTTAACAACTTTTCATTCCCACTTAAAACTGTCACTTTAAGTTAATGTTCTTATCTCGTTGATTTGAATTTCTAATGCGTCAGGTTCAAATAGGCACAAAATATCACGGCTTATAGCCTGTCTGGTAGGTAATTATGCGTTTGAAAATTACAAACGCGGATGAATCGGCAATCGGCGGCCTGCAGATTACAAGTCAAGTGCTTAATACCTAAGCTACCATCACTTAACTTAGTTCTTACTAATATTATAAATGCGAATGTTTAGATGGATGGATGTTTATTTGAAGGTATCTCTAGAAGGTTAAGTGTTGGTAGCTTAGGTATTAAGCACTTGACGTGTAATCTGCAGGTCCTGGGTTTGAATCTTTGATTTAGAATTGTCCTATGTCCTTACGGTGAAGGCAAACATCGTGGTGCTGCACATATCTGTGATGAAATTCAAAGATATGTGTGAAGCCACGCTGTGACTATGACCTAGTCATATAACTTACGGTAGATTCCAAGCCCTCATCATCAGCTCACTATATCCCCACTGAGAGGCTCGGAGTCTACCCAAAGTTAGATTACCAGGTCATGGTCAACCATATAATTTATACCAACGTTTTAACGCCCACGAAATCCTTTTGAACTTGATTTTTTTTTGTTTTTTTCAGGCGTTATCACAACAACAACTTTGAATCAAGATAAATCACAGATAATTGAGAAGCAACAAGAAAAGGCAAGACGCACACCAGAGACCAGACCAGAAAGACAGATCGAGACGAGACCGGAGGCGAGACCGGAGACCACAGACACCAGGGTTCGGAGTAAACGGGATTCGGAGACGAGTCATACTGAAAGTAAAGAAGCTAAGACAACTGAAAAATTTAATGTTAACGGTAAGTTTCATATTTATAGTGGGTTTTTGAGACCAACTATACAACATATCATATATGTCTTTTGTTTATATAATAAGGTAGCAAACGAGCGAGCAGCCACCTTAATTCGCTGAAATAGCGAAGTGACCGTTGCCCATAGACATACGCAATTGCATATGCGTTGCCTAACTTTAATCGACGGAGGAGAGGATGCACGGAAAAAAAATATCTTCCCTTTCCATGCATCCTCTCATCCGGAATGTCCACTTCCAATTCCCATCCTTTTTTTATAAGAAAAAGGGTGGTTACGTGTGAAACTATAGTTGGGTTATTTTAAAAATGTATTTTTTTTTATTTTAGGAGGACCTCCACCTTTAATAAAGCTACCACTATTAGAAAAAACAAGTCCGGTTAAAAGAGAAAGTGATACGTAAGTAATTTTTAACTAGGAATTAACGCGTTAAAAAAATCTTACTAATATTATAAATGGGAATGTTTAGATGGATGTTTGTTAGATAGTATCTCCGGACCAACTCAACTGATTTTGTTGAAATTTGTCATACATATAGAACATAGTCTGGAAGAAGACATACACTACTTATTAATTTTTTTTAAATCCCAGACGGAGTCGCGGGCGATAGTTAGTCTAGTAATCAAAATGGCCTATGTCAAGAATATTTTAGCTTCCCAATAGTAAAAGAATTTTTCAAATCGATTCAGTACTTTTGGAGTTTATTTAGCACATACAAACATAGCGGATCTTTGTATGTATGTTTGTTAGAAGATATCTCCAGAACAGCTCAACGGATTTTGATGAAATTTGTCATACATATAGAACATAGTCTGGAAGAACACATAGACTAGTAATTTAAACGTCAATAGCTTAATGGTTAAGTGTACGGATTTCCGATCATGAGGTCGGGAGTTCGAATCCCGTCATTCGATTATTGTCGTAAACCATATCCTAGCAGAAGCATAGAGCTAAGTTGAAATGGTACAAGATATATCAGTAAATTAATAAAGATCTACTTAAAAATCTTACTAATATTATAAATGCGAATGTTTAGATGTATGTTTGAAGATATTTCCAGAACAACTAAACAGATCTTGATGAAATTTGTCATACAAGTAGAGCATAGCCTAGAAGAATACATAGGCTACTATTTTTTAATTCCGTACAGATGGAGTTTAGTTAGTTTATAATATGACTGGATTTATTCTTATTAAAAATTTTATAATTGCTTTTTTATAGTAAAAGTCCAAGTCCGAAGAGAAAACGTGTTACCAGCGCAACTGAACATACGGATGAGGAATCACTGACGCCTAAAACGTAAGTCTTTTTGACGTATTATTTCTAGGTTATTTAGTAAAATTACTTAAAAAACATGGGATTGGATGGATGTTTGAAGATATCTCCAGAACAGGTCAACGGATCTTGATGAAATTTGTCATATATAGAACATAGTCTGGAAGAACACATTGGCTAATAATTAAGTTTTTTTTTAATTCCGCGCGGATGCAGTCGCGGGCGATAGCTAGTAATTTTATAAAAAATTGTATAAAATAGCCTATATTACGCATACATTTATTTTCTAGTTAAAATATTCACAGATTTTTTATATTATTATAGGGAAGGAGAATGGCAACATGGAAATTTGGTAAGATTTTTTTTTTATTTATATATTAAAATCTGGATGACCGAGCTGTGCTCGGTATTTTATTTTAAATAGTGTTTTTAGAAATTATATTTAAGTACGAATTACTAATAAAATGATGAAATATGAATAATATTTTTCGATATTAAACAACGCCATCTTCTGTTGTGTCGTTAAAGCAATTAGTTGCTCACAGAAAAATAGTATTATTATTCGACAATAGATGTCAGGAAGAGTCATATTTTTCAGTTCTATTTGTTATTTTTCTTTAATTTATTTGTATTGTTTTGTTAATTTTCTAAAAATGATTCCTACCTAGATCGATTTATCGCCTCCGAAACCCCCTATATACAAAATTTTATGAAAATCGTTGGAACCGATTCTCGAAATATACATGCATATATCGTATGTTCTTACGGTGAAGGAAAACATCGTGATGCTGCACATATCTGAGAAGAAATTCAAAGATATGTGTGAAGTCAACTAACCCGCACTTGACCAGCGTGGTTGACTACGACCTAGTCATCTATGATTTAGGGTATGCTCCGAGCCCCTCGGTGGGGACGTATAGTGAGCTGATGATGCAATAGTAATATAAATTGTAGGACATATCCGCGGAACGTGTGGTCAGTTGGGGAGCTGGAGACAGCGGGGAATGGTCACGAGAAGGATCAGATGATGAATGGGCTGACGCGCCGGCTGACATCGGCTCGTTTCTGAGCACCAGTTTACGTGTGGACGGCGACAATAGTGCTGGTCTGTACAAAACATAACTCCAAATTGTTGAAACTATTATTTACTTATTTAAGATTGCTAGAAATATGTTACATTTGTACTATGTATAATTAACATAGTATATAGGTTTCATCTTAATTATTAAGCTTATATATTTAAATTACAAACAATCACAGCATTCATGTAAGTAAAAAAAAACAATAAAAAACATTATATGTTGTTTGAAATTAAAGTACAGAACATATAAGAAACACACTAAAATAAATATTATTTAATTTATTTAATATGAATTGAATAATAGTTGAACAAAACTCTAAATTGTTGAAACATAAATTATATTGGTTGAACACAACTTTAAATAGTTGAATTTAATGTAAATTGACTCTAGTTCAATTTTTATTTTACTCCGGGAAACATTTTCGGTCGGTCTGAAGTCTGATTTTCATGTGTCTGTTTGTAGAAGATTCAGAAGACAGTACCGCTCACACTGGATCCAGTTCGACAGTAACCACTGCCGGTCCAGCGGGGCCAGCCGGTGAGCCATTCACTCTTATACGTAAGTCAAACCACAATAGCAATCACCACAGACATTAGAGAAAACATTTATAGAGCGGACGTTAAAAAACTAATATCTACATTTGAATAATTTCCTTTTAATTCAATTGAAAATTTGGAAATGTGTGGCCAACTAGATTATAGTACCTGGATGACCGAGCTTTGCTCAGTATTTTATTTTTAAATTGTGTTTTTTGGAACTTTAAGTACAAATAACTAATAAAATGATGAAATATGATGTTACCGATAGAAAAAGTTAAGTTTAAGTTGATTATCGATAAAACACGAATAAAATCTCGCCATGTACCAATATGTTTTACATATGTACATTTATCGTATGTTCTTACGGTGAAGGAAAACGTCGTGATGCTGCACATATCTGTGAAATGTCAAAGATATGTGTGAAGTGACGCACTGGAACAGCATTCACTATCACCTAGTCCTAACTTAGGGTAGGTTAGACCCTCAGTGAAGACCTATAACCTGATGATGATTGGTAGTAGATAGAAGTAAGATTTAAGTACTTCTTGTGTATAGCAAATCAAAATCAACCTTAACTCCAATATAATAAAGTCCATTTTCACAGCAAATCCGAACCCGACGGGTAAAAATAAACAAATAGACCCTCGATTCACGGACGTCGTCAAACTCAACGATTATCTGCAGCACGGCAGACGGCCTCAGTTCTGGGAGGAGAGTTACGTCAAGAAGGTGAGTATTCCACCCGTCATCTCTAACTGCAGCTCGAATCTCTAATTCTGTCTTTTTATTTTATCTGTCATATTCCACTTCGTCATATTTCTATGCCATCTATACCTATCTTTTATTCCCCCTTGGTATCGTTTGGTCAATCTGCCATCTTATATTCCATCAAGCATCTTTAATTCCATCTGTCATATTCCACCAAGCACTTACAATTCCATCTTGCAATTTTCATTCATTCTGTCATCTTATATTCCACCGAGGACCTCTAATTCCATCTGGCTATTTTTATTCCATCTGTCGCCATTTCATTGCATCTGTCTCATTTTATTCCAACTGGCAACTCTAACTGCGTTTAGTCATCTACGAACTTGTTTATTTTTTATTGCATTTGTCATTATGCATTCTGTTAGGTATACCGTATTCCACATGTCAAATATTATTCCGGATGTCGTGCAGGTGATGGAGGCGGTGCGACTCAAGGAGTTGGAGATGAAGCACGCTGCGGAGCTACTCGGCGTCAGCTACGGCACTTTGTATGGACGGTACAGAGATGTGTATGGATGTATCAACCGGCCATACCGGTATGTATAAGTATTTGAACTTAAAGTTGGTTTCTGAGACTCAAATTCCTGATGTTATGTTTTATATTGATATTTTAGGTCTCGGAAACCAACGATAAATAAAGATAGTTACGTTATTTGACTGTTTTTTTATTTTTTTTGGTAAAATCAAGTAATATTGTATATAATTAGTAATTTTAACTAATTTTCAGTAAATAATTTAAGTATTTACCAGTTTCAGAGTAAATTGTAGTTTGTCTATTGAGTCATAGCTCAACAACTCTGTGATATTTACTTATGTAACGATTCAGATCAACACAGATCTACTGTTTGCAAGAAAATCCGACACTGCCGGTGTACTGGCGCAACGAAATATCAACGTTTATATCCCCTCACAAATATGACACTTGACTTTGTAACGAAAGCGCGACATTTGTGCCAAAGGATTCTAATAATGTTTAAAAGTACCTACCCACTATCTACCTTCAACTTTTCATTCATATGATGCCCACTGTTGGGCAAAGACCTTCCCAATAGATCACCACATCCAGGATACCCTTGCATCCTTGACCAGATCCATCTTGAGTCTCCCTATCTATCTGTACTAAAACAGCAATATTCAGTGTGTGCAGCACCCGGGAGCTGTGGCACGCTGGACCGGCGGATGTACTGGAGCGGCTGCAGCGAGGTGAGGTCACGAGAGAGGCGGCAGCACTCGCCCTGGGCGTCTCACCTGCCAACCTCGCCGCTTACGTGCTAGATCTAGCTGCTGATAAAGGTATATATCACAGAGACCTCATATAACTGAAAGGTTCTCTATATCATCATAATCATCAGCTCACTGTAGTCCCCACTGAGGGTCTCGGAGCCTACCATAAGTTATGTGACCAGGTCATAGTCAATACTGGCGGTGGTTGGAATCCCGGCATTCGACTATTGTAAATCCCAGCACAAGCATAGAGCTTAATTGGAATGATACAAAAAATATTAGTAAATTAACAAAAATCTGCTAATATTATGTAAAGATAGAGGCAAATAAACCGTTATTTATATATGTAAATGATAATTTTCAGAATTCGAGCCGATTCCGATAGAAATGGACACATCAGTGAAGATGCGCACGCGCGCTGTCAGCGGAACGGCTGCCCCCAAGCCGCGCAAGTCGCCGCATAATGATAAGGTATTGAGGTATTTAAGACCCTCTAAATGTATACACACTCTACGATACATTATACAGCTCCTACATTAAATTATACATCTTCTACAATAACTTATACATTTTGTACAATAACTTATACATTTTCTACAATAAATTATACATTTTATACAATAAGTTATACATCTTCTACAATAAATTATACATTTTGTACAATAAGTTATACATTTTGTACAATAAATTATACATTTTGTACAATAAGTTATACATTTTGTACAATACATTATACATTTTCTACAATAAGTGATACATTTTGTACAATACATTATACATTTTGTACAATAAGTTATACATTTTGTACAATAAGTTATACATTTTGTACAATAAATTATACATTTGTACAATAAGTTATACATTTTGTACAATACATTATACATTTTCTACAATAAGTTATACATTTTGTACAATACATTATACATTTTGCACAATAAGTTATACATTTTGTACAATAACTTATACATTTTCTACAATAACTTATACATTTTCTACAATAACTTATACATTTTCTACAATAAATTATACATTTTGTACAATAACTTATACATTTTCTACAATAAATTATACATTTTCTACAATAAATTATACATTTTCTACAATAAATTATACATTTTCTACAATAACTTCTACATTTTCTACAATAAATTATACATTTTGTACAATAACTTATACATTTTCTACAATAAATTATACATTTTGTACAATACATTATACATTTTCTACAATAACTTATACATTTTCTACAATAACTTATACATTTTCTACAATAACTTATACATTTTCTACAATAACTTATACATTTTCTACAATAACTTATACATTTTCTACAATAACTTATACATTTTCTCCAATAACTTATACATTTTCTACAATAAATTATACATTTTGTACAATACATTATACATTTTGTACAATAAATTATACATTTTGTACAATACATTATACATTTTGTACAATTACTTATACATTCTGTACAATACATTATACATTTGGTACAATACATTATACATTTTGTACAATAACTTATACATTTTGTACAATAATTTATACATTTTGTACAATACATTATACATTTTCTACAATAAGTTATACATTTTGTACAATACATTATACATTTTCTACAATAAGTTATACATTTTGTACAATAACTTATACATTTTGTGCAATACATTATACATTTTGTACAATAACTTATACATTTTGTACAATAAGTTATACATTTTCTACAATAAGTTATACATTTTGTACAATACATTATACATTTTGTACAATACATTATACATTTTGTACAATAACTTATACATTTTGTACAATAAGTTATACATTTTGTACAATACATTATACATTTTCTACAATAAGTTATACATTTTGTACAATACAGTATACATTTTGTACAATACATTATACATTTTGTACAATACATTATACATTTTGTACAACAAATTATACATTTTGTACAATAAGTTATACATTTTGTACAATTACTTATACATTTTGTACAATACATTATACATTTTGTACAATAACTTATACATTTTGTACAATACATTATACATTTTGTACAATAAGATACATTTTGTACAATACATTATATACATTTTGTACAATAAGTTATACATTCTGTACAATACATTATACATTTTGTACAATAAGTTATACATTTTGTACAATAAATTATAAATTTGGTACAATAACTTATACATTTCGTACAATAAGTTATACATTTTGTACAATAAGTTATACATTTTGTACAATAAATTATACATTTTGTACAATACATTATACATTTTGTACAATTACTTATACATTCTGTACAATACATTATACATTTGGTACAATACATTATACATTTTGTACAATAACTTATACATTTTGTACAATAAGTTATACATTTTGTACAATACATTATACATTTTCTACAATAAGTTATACATTTTGTACAATACAGTATACATTTTGTACAATACATTATACATTTTGTACAATACATTATACATTTTGTACAACAAATTATACATTCTGTACAACAAATTATACATTTTGTACAATAAATTATACATTTTGTTCAACAACTTATACATTTTCTACAATAAATTATACATTTTGTACAACAAATTATACATTTTGTACAATAAGTTATACATTTTGTACAATACATTATATACATTTTGTACAATAAATTATACATTCTGTACAATACATTATACATTTTGTACAATAAGTTATACATTTTGTACAATAAATTATAAATTTGGTACAATAACTTATACATTTTGTACAATACATTATACATTTTGTACAATAAGTT